ACAGAAACAAAGATCTGAGTATCACATGTTCTCACTCATATAGTGGACCTTGAACATCCAATGTAATACTATAAGAAAATGACTGATAGTGGTGGGAAACTATGGGGGGGAGGAGAAGGGAGATGGGATTAACAGTAGTAAATATCTGTCTGGGGATGGGGAGACACCTCTTATCAACAAGGGTGCCTGAACGAAGCATATTTGTATACCTAACCCTTAACTGTACCCCACAATATCATAATAAAAAATATTGATTATAAAAAAATAAAAATAAAAAACAAAACTGAAGCTTTAAAATTTTAGCACCAAAAAGAAGGAATGATGAAAGTGAAAATGATGTAGACAGGCTGACTAAAATAAACAGAAACTGAAGAACCCATGCAAGATTCTTACAGCCTTTCAAGAAAATATACAAAGGGATACTCCCAAATAAAATATTATAGGCATAACTGGACATCTTGGTGGATGTGATGGAGGACCAGAAAACGTGCTTGTTAAGAAGTTGATATGAGTGGATTGCCAGAGCCTGCGGGCTTGAGACCCGCCTGGGCAACTTGGTGAGACCTCATCTCTACAATAAATCAAAATGAGTCAGGTGTGGTAGCGTGCGCCTGTAGTTCCGGCTTACTCGGAAGGCTGAGGCAGAAGGATCGCCAGAGCCCAGCAGGTCGAGGCTGCCGTGGTTTTGAGTGTGCCACTGCACTCCAGCCTGGGTGACAGAGTGAGACTCCAACTCCAACTCCAAAAAAAAAAAAATCATACGCAGCACACTTGAAATAGCAAAGACTGAGAGGAAGAGGTTAACTAATAGCAAGAGGTCCAAAGGCCAACCATGTCTTTAAAAACATATAATAATCTGAGCTCAATCGCAGGCTATGAGAAAACTGAGACCAGATGACCATCGTTCAATTTCAAAGTCCAAAGCAATTAGTAAGTCAGCATCATAACTGGAGGCCTACAGTAGTCATAATTCCAAGCTGAAGATCAAATTATGACAAGTTGACCTTCTGTTCAATAACATAAGCAATCAGGAAACACACTTTAACCACTTTGTCTATACGGGCTTCAAATTTGATTGAGTTATCTTTGTTTTACTGAAGAGCTCTTGATTTTAAGCTATAAAGTTGTTAAAGCTGAAGAGCAACCAATGACTTTAGTTTAGATGCAGATACAATTGGCCTGCCGAATTTGTCTTTTAGTCTGGGCTTGATGCTGGCTGAAATGTTGTTGCTTCTTTATTCTGTAATGCTATAGCTAGCATTAAACCGGTTTCATCTGTCCTTAGCTTTATTTCTCTCTCCTCAGAAGTCTTCAGCTTACTCATTTCTGACCAAAACTAGGTTGAGATGAATCCCACCCTCTACAAACGCGCTGAATTGCCTGCACTCCTCGAATGCCATCCGACTTTCTATCCCACATGGTAGCAGCACAGCCTGCCACGGCAACTTAAAAGCTTCCCTACCAAATAAGTTCACCTCTTTGAAAAGCTGGATGATTTCAAGCAAGTTTGCCCTTAAATTTTTTTTTTAAGTGTTGGGTAGCCCCTCATCATTCACACTTTTATCTACTGGCTCTATCATTTGGAGAGGAGCAAGCTGACTGGTGGTTGAAAGTATTTCCTCACCCTTCAAGGCACAGAGCAGTGTTCACTCAGGTCTGATTGAACAGCCAGAACCCAACATCCTTCATGAAGGTCAGCTGCTCCTGAAGTAACAAGGTGACCGCTGCCCTCCCCTCTGTCACTTGGCTTTCTTGTCTGCCACGGAGCTTTGTCAGGCTCTGATTCTCTTCTACCATGGCCACTAATCTCCACTTCAAAATCACTTTCCAATACAGCTCATTTTGTTTTTATTAATTCATCTGATCATTCTTATCATTACTTTGGGGTCCTGAAAACATCCTAAAAATATGAGGTAGGGTAAGAAAATACCTTAGAATTATCTGGTAAGCTATTTAAAAGCACAGGGATGATGTGAAAAGGAGAATGAAAAACCAATTTACTGTTAGGAACGGCAAAGATTAAACTACATATAGTTCTCTGGGAAATGAGAGGCTATATTTTTCCAATATACTAAATAAATATAAAAGTTCAAATATCAGAAAGAATTCCCAGTGCAAATTTTATGTGCATTAATTAACAAAAACACATAGTATTCAATAAAGTTATATATATATGTGTGTGTATACATCTGCTAATTAAATGACACTGGTAAATATATTTTCATTAAGGTGTTAGTTTTCTGCTTGCTACTGTACATTTCCAATCATGAATTAAGGACAAGAAATGCCATCTGTCTGTGAAGACATTTCAATAACTTAAAAATTTCACAAAGCTATATTCTGTCTTCCAGTTTGTAAGCAAATGTCTCCATAGACCTTTCATATGTTTATAGTTGGTACCCTGTATCATTTTTTATAATATTGCTCAATGGGGCATAGAACACTATAATTATAGCACAATTATAGTACATCTCTAAACCATTTCATTAAGAATCTTTCAGCAGTGAGGGGAACCTACATGAATGTGTACCAGGATGGTTTCAGATTGTATACCAAAATTTATGAGACTTGGGTTGAGTCTTTAAACACATGCAAAAAACGTAAGTACTGATGGTTAACTCCCTATATCCACATTTCTCTGAGTTCTGAAAAACTGATAGTGGAGTATGATTTAATTGCAGTGAAATATACATAATGCAAAATTTGCCATTTTAACTGTTTTTAAGTACACCGTTGCAGTGGCATTATGCACGTTCACACTGCTATGTAACCACCATCACCACTCACCTCCAGAACTTTCTCTTCATCCCAAAGAGAAACTCTGTAGCCAATGACACGAACTCCTCATTTTCCATCCCCCAGGCCCTGGAACTGCCATTCTACTTCGTTTCTATGAACTTGACTCTCTTCAGGACCTCATACAGGTGGAGATAAATAATATTTGTCCTTTTTGTGACTGGTTTATTTCACTTAGCATAATGTCCTCAGGGTTCATCCATGTTACAGCATACATCAGCATTTCCTTCCTGTTTAAGGTCAAACACTGTTCCATTGTATGTGTGTAACACATTTCATTTGTCCCCTCATCTGCCAGTGGGATAGAAACTTGAGTTCCTTCTAACGTTTAGCTATCGTGAATAATGCTGTTATGAACATTGGTCTAAAAATATTCCCTGTTCAAGTCTTCGTTTTCAGTTATCTGGGGTACACACCTAGAAGTGGAATTGCTGAATTATATGGCAATTCTATGTTTAATTTTTGTGAGGAACCTCTAAACTGTTTTCCACAACAGCTGCGCTATTTTACATTCCACAAGCAATGCACAACGGTTGTAACTTCTCTACATCAAAATCGTTGTTTTTTAAGAGTAAAAATATGAGCTTTATAAGACCATTTCTGATCCTGTTTTTCATTTCTCTTTGTCACTTGTTTTTATCACTGATATCAAAACCACAGGATTTATGATGTAAGACTGAGTCTGATTAGAATCCCTAATTTCAAGAAGTCTACTGAAGAGGAGAGATAGAGAGACAGAAAGGCAAAAGCAATAAAAGCTAATTCAGAGTGTATGATGTTACCACAATACAAAAATATTGTGTGGGGGAGGGAGAGCGCCAGACGGCATGAGGTCAGAGGCAGTTTCCTCCCTAAAATCTTAATTTCTTAGAATGTACATTTCTTAGAATGTAATTTCAAATTCAACTCAGAAGCTGAGAAGAAAGACAAAAACAAGCTCTGAGAATAGCAAACTAAATGGAGGTACGTACAAATGTAGAAGAAACAATGAGTTTTGTCCTTCAAATGGAGGCTGAAGAAAAAATAATTAGATATGGTACAGCTATATTTTCTGTGACCTTCTGATAAAGAGGTCATAAAGAATTTAGGATTACTTTTTCTGACATAGTCTTCAGACTATGGTATAAATTGAATGATGATAATTTGGTTTAAAATGCATCTGTTTGGATTAAATTTTTAAATGTTTATAAAATTGCGATTAAGTAATTCAATATTTGAAACAGGCTAAAAGTGGAATCATCATTTTAGAATTAGGAATAACTCACAAAAAAGTAAATGATAATTATAAAACAACTTCTTTAATTAACATACAAAAATATACAATTTCTCAGGTTCATTGTTATGCCTGTTAGACACTTCATAAAATATTCATGCAGACATTAAAATTCTAATGTTCCTAAGCTTATTTACACCATATTATAAAGACGATATTTTACATATATATACCAGTTCATATGAAAATATATTCTTCATAAAGCATAACAATAATTTATATTTTATAAAACACAGTAACATAAATTTAAGGAAACAAGTTGACATTTGTGTGATAAGTTCCATATTTCTAATTAAAGACAGATTAAAATAATTTAGTTGAATTTCATCAGAATCAGTTCAAAATAGAATTTCAGAATTACTATCTGGAAATGAAGGAATATTGTAACCATCTTTCAGAGTTATTTCAAAATTATTCATACAAGATTTTGATGAGTTTAGCTACTACATGCACATTGAGACTGTTTCCAAGTAGGCGATAACTCTGTTTCACCGTTATCTTCTCAGGAAATCCTAGAAAAGAGAGATAACAATTTATATACAACTATTTGTAATAGTAATTTCCAGAGAGGAAAGAATGCATTCTTCAGTAAGGGCACAGTGGTCATTTAATAAATAAATCATTAACTTCTCCATGAAGTTTTATTAACAAATGAGACTTTATAGCCAAAAATATTATATAAACACTACATTTCCTACAGTGAGATATGACCACACAATATATAATGTATTCCCTACAGTGAGCTATATGTTGTGATCAGCATACACACATATACACATATAAATAACATTTCCAGGACTCAGAGAAACCACATTGTATTAGTGCACTATAAAAAGCAGTGGCTACCATTATTTCACAGTTGTTTCTTTTATTTAATAGCAGCTTTATGGAGATATAAATTGCATAACAAAATTCATCCTCTTTTTTTGAGTTGGGGTCTCATTCTGTTGCCCATGCTCGAGTGCAGTGGCACAAGCACAGCTCACCACAGCCTCCACCTCCTGGGCTCAAGTGATCCTTCCATTTCAGCCTCCTGAGTAGCTGGGACTAAAGGCACACACTGTCATGCCCACCTCATTTAAAAAAAATTTTTTGTAGAGATAAGGCCTCACTATGTTGCCCAGGCTGGTCTCGAACTCCTGGACTCAAGTGATCCTCTCAGAGTGCTGGGATTACAGGAGTGAGCCACCGTGCCTGGCCCACCCTCTTGAAGTATGCAATTCAGTGGTTTTTAGTATAGTCACAGAGTTTTTCAGGCATCTCTACTGTCTACTGCTAGAACATTTTCATCACTTCAAAAAAGAAATCCGGTACCCATCAGCAGTCACTCCCCAATGCTTTCCTGCCCTCAATGACTAATCTGTTTTGTTTCTATGGATTTGTCTCTTCTGAACATTTCATATAAATGGAACCATAACATATGCTGTCTTTTGTGTTTGGTTTCCTTCCATTAGCATAACGTTTCCAAGGTTCACGCATGTTGTAGCATGTACAAATACTTCATTTATTTCCGTGGTTGAATATTCTATTGTATGGATATGCCACATTTTATTTATCCATTCATTCGCTGATAGACATTTGGGTTGTTTCTGCTTTTTGGCTGTTATAAATAATGCTATTATGAACATTTACATATAAGTTTTTGTGCAGAAATGTTTTAAATTCTCTTGGAGATATATACACACACACATACACCTAGGGGTGAAATTGCTGGGCCACACAAAAACTCTATGAGTAACATTTGAAGAACTTATCTATTTTCCAAAGCAGCTGTACCATTTTATATTCCCATCATCAGTGTACAAAGGTGCCAGTTTATCCACATCTTCACCAGCACTGTTATTGTTTGCCTTTTTTACCGATCCTAATGGGTATGAAGTGATAGCATATTGTGGCTTGACTGACATTTCCCTAATAACTAATTAATAATACCTCTTTATTATGTTTATTGGTCATTTATCATCTTTTTTTGAGAAATTAATTCAAATCCTTTGCCTATTTCCAAATGGGATTATTTTTTCTTTTCAGTTTTGAGTTATAAAAGTTCTTTATATATTCTGGATACAAGATCCTTACAGCTGTTTTTCATACTCTGCCTCCACAAATTGCCTTTCTTACGCTAGACTTCTATTTGCTATACTCTTTTTCAAAACAAAAAGGCCCACATATACTACCTATGCTGGAAGAAGGTCACACAAATTCAGCATGTACTATCCATGCATAGGAGTGTACACTATAATGTTAGTTACAATGTCTGGATTTCACATTCAGTACCCTTTGGCATAGCATTTATTTTGCTTATCTTTTTCTCTTTTTTTCCCCTCATTTTAAGCATTTTGTATTAGACTTTTGGGTTACATGTGAGGATTTGCTACATAAGTAAATTGTACGAAGGCGAGGCTTGGGCTTCTGGCAAGCCCTCTCCATCCCTAGCAGTGGGCATGGCTCCCAGAGGGCAATTGTGTGCCCCTTGTCTCTCTTCCTATAGCAGTGCCCTGATTCTGTTGTTTCCTCCCTTGTACCCACATAGCATATAAAAAAGAAACTTAGATTAAAAAAATGAAAAGAAAAGGATATTAAAGAACAGCAAAATTTCATATACTTATAATGACAAGAAGGTAGAGCTGGTTAAGGTAAAGTTGCTTCATCAACACTTGACATTATATTAACTGCAATAAAATAACAGTAATTACTATAATAAAACTATATTTGCAATTGAACACGATCATAAAGTTGCCATTCTAAAGATAATGCCTTAGACAAGCACATTATTCATCTAAAAAATTATTTAGTTCAAAGTAGCCAGAAGTACAAATGTACCCATAAACAGGCTTTTTGAATATACCAGAGATGATCTTTTGCAATATTGAGACTATAATAGAGGGGAGGAAAGGTTCAAAAGCGAGTTCGATTTTTAAAAACTATATGTGTATGTGTGCATTTGCCTATTTTAAAAAATCTAAACTAACTTATGGGGAAAATTTTACATAATTTTTAAAGTTAAAGGTGACTTTTAACAACTTAGATACATTACAAAGAACAACAACATGCCTCAAAAACAAGAAAGGATAGAACAAACAAGGTCAAGACAGCAGCTTTCATCCAGTAAGTGCAAGTTCTCGTTCGCTCTTCCAAAGCCTGTACTGCACGAATGCATGCTGCTGTCCTGAAGAGAACCAGGACACAAAGAGCAGAAGGATCAGTGCAGATCCATCACTGCCAGTGGACAGCAGCTCAAACAGCAGTCAGTTTTGGACCCAAAGTCAATAATGTTGGAAACCAACGTGAGGACCCGTTGGTCACAGTGCTGCGCAGTGGTCACATCACAGCAAGCTTGACTACACAAATATATCACATATTTTAAAAGAAGTTTTAGTGATTTCAAAGCCTTTTTTGTATGTATTATGCAAAAACTTCAAAGGCTTTTTGCATGTATTTATATCTATAAACAGAGTTTTAAAAAATTCTATTTTACTCAACTAAAATTTAAAAATGAGGAAATAATTAATGAGATGAAGGTTACAGAAGCCAGCAAGTATCCACAATTCTAAAATTGAAAGCTAACCATTACATTTTATATTATGTCTCAGATATTACATAGGAATTTTATATATGTCAACTCACTTAACTGCTGCAACAATACTATGAAGTAGGTGCTTTAACTATCCCCATTTTACAGGTGAGGACACTAAGGCAGGGAGTGGTTAGAGTGAAGCCAGGATTTGAACTTAGTCTGACTCCGGGCTCTGTGCTCCTTACCAAGTGACTGCTGCTCCTTGAAAACAAGCTTTGCGTTAAAAATTGAGACTACATTTTGTTTGTTTGTTTGTCTGTTTGAGTTGGGGGTCTCATTCTGTTGCCCAAACAGGGGGAGTGCATGGCATGATCACAGCTCACTGCAGCCTCGACCTCCTGGGCTCAGACTATCTTCCTACCTCAGTCTCCTGAGTGGCTGGGACTACAGGCATGTGCCACCATGCTGGCTATTTTTTTTTTTTTTTTTTTTGAGACGAGGTCTCACTGTATTTCCCAGGCTGGTCTCAAATTCCTGGGCATAAGCAATCCTTCCACCTCAGTTTCTCAAAGTGCTGGGATTACAGGTGTGAGCCACCACATCCAGCCCAGGAATCAGATTTTATTAGATAATCTCACTTTAGTAGTATGTCCGATTGCTCATCTGAAAAAAGAGAAAAAAATAGTAACTAGAAAAGCAGAGTAGAGATTAGAATTCTTGAGTCCAATTCTCAGCTCTTTATGCTTTTTGTAATGTTCTTATTTTATTTTCCAAAGACAAGGAAAGTCTGTGTTTTTCTTAACTAATAGTCCCTGGGATCTCTGAGGCTGAATGAGATCACTAAGAAAGCAGTAGGGAGGAGAAAACAAACCTGGCTGCTGTGACTGCGTGGAAGGTCAGTTACTAGGAGGGCCAGCACAGTGTATTGGAAGTTTGCTCCCCAGGAACAAAAGGAGTGTGTTCCAGAACCTCATCTGATACAATCATTATTTAAAACCGGAAACATGATCTATTTAACCCACTGTTTACTTTGGGAATTTTACATATTAATATTACAACAGTATAGGATTTAACACCGATTATACTTTTTCATTCAAACCCCTAATGAAAATTCTCAAAAGCACATTTCCTCCTCTGCAGCCCTGGAAGCACGTTAGAGGGGTC